GCCGAAGTCGGACACTCAAGCGACTGAGCCACCCAGGCGCCCCTAATGACACATTATTCTTATCATATTTGTTTAATCTGAATTATGACATTTTATGAAATCTTAAAATAAGGGGGTTATGGGAACTCTTTACTTGATGAAAGACTTTCTTGCTTCCAAGTTATTTCCTGACTGGCAATCTTTGCTTTCCTTTCCTGGAGGTATGGACTCCCTAAATAATGAAGAAATACACTGAAAAATAGTTAATGATTTGTTTTAAACCCAAGCTTTTCTTGTGCAACAGAAGTCTTTTAGTTCTGCAATATTTTTTTCTTTGTATATTGTTTGTTTATCTACTGAATTCGTAAAATCAAGCCTCTGATTACAGGTGGCTTACAGTAGAACTTAAGAAGGCCAGCCTCAGGCTTTCTGTTTTTATCTATCGCTCTATAGTATATTTTCCAGAGGGCAACAGGTGCTCCATTGCAAACATCATCATTTTACCAGAAGCAAATGGTTCCCAATGAATCAGGTCACCAGTGTGTTTACATGCAATTTCCTTTGGGTTTTACTCTAGGAATGGTAGTGACAAAAATAATAGAATAGGCACGATTTAGTCAACATCCATTAGGTACATTAACCCTCACTATTTATCATTCACATGTTATAGATGTGATTCCTCAGTGAGGAAGACTTACTATATGATCCCAGGTCCACCTGTCTGACATCTCACCCTCTATGTATTACCCTACACCACACCACCTTCCAATTTTTGGTTTAACATTTCTTCCTCTGGGCACAGAGTGATGGAAGGATCTATGAAAATAAATGCTATATAAGGATAAGTTAAACAGGCATGGCAGAAAAAACGATGACTAAAATATGCTGTAAAATATGAAGGAAACCATAGAAGGATCAAAAGCAAAACAACTGTGGGGAGAAAAGCAAAACTCATGTGAAACTTTAATTATACTACTTTTAAACAGAGGTATACTCTTTATATGAGAATAATTAAACCTGTATGCTTCTAATTTATCTGACCATTTAGAATATCTATTTGTTTTGGGGCGCCTGAGTGGCTCAGTCAGTTAAGCATCTGACTTCAGCTCAGGTCATGATCTCACCGTTCATGAGTTTGAGCCCCACGTGGGGCTCTGTGCTGATGTGTGCTGACAGCTGGGGGCCTGGAGCCTGCTTCACACTCTGTGTCTCCCTCTCTCTCTGCCCCTCTGCTGCTCATGCTCTCTCTCTCTCTCTCAAAAATAAATAAACATTAAACAAACTTTAGAATATCTATTTGTTTTATAAGAAACACCATAAAAAAATTAATGAGATGTAGTTGTCTATTTAAAAGGTTATTTAAAATGTATGCAATCAGTTGATAAATATAGTACATACTAGTTTTAAAATGTGATTATAAATACAAAGGAACAATACTGTTGAGATAGCATTATATATTAAAGTAGGGTCAATACATACTTCATTACTTTTTAAGTGAACAGTTTTCACCTTAAATATGAAGTTAATTAAAAATTTATATATTTATTACAAAGAGAAAAATGTCATTACTCAGAACTGAACAAGAAGTGATCTTTTACTAACCAAAACTTTTTTTTTCTAAGGCAGACACAAGGGAAAACAAAACAATGAAAGTAAATAAGTTCCTATATTAAATGCATATTTTTTATAGTTTTTAAAAAAATATTTATTTTTGAGAGAGAGAGACACAGGGCACAAGCAGGGGAGGGGGCAGAGAGAGGGAGACACAGAATCTGAAGCAGGCTCCAGGCTCTGAGCTGTCAGCACAGAGATCAATGTGGGGCTCAAACTCATGAACAGTGAGATAATGACCTGAGCCTAAGTTGGATGCTTAACCGACTGAGCCACCCAGGAGCCCCTTAAATGTATATTTAAGTGATAGATGCAACTTGAAGTGTGTTCTGAATTCAATGTAATTTCATTCTAGATTTCTCTAGGTTCCAAAAGCTGTCAACGATTTTAATTTATTAACCATAAAATTCAACTTTGAAAAATATTTCAAGAAATTTTGTGAAAAAATAAATATGACCATACTAAAAAGTATTCATATTTCAAAGTTTATTTATTTTTAGAGAGAGAGAGAATGCGCACAAGTAGGTGAGGGGCAGAAAGAGACGGGGAGAGAGAGAGACTCCCAGGCAGGCTCCGTGCTGTCAGCATGGGCGGTGCCCAATGTAGGGCTTGAGTCCATCACCATGAGATCATGACCTGAGCCAAAACCAAGAGTTGGACACTTACCTGACTGAGTGCCCAGGCACCCCAAAGGCGTTCATATTTTACAAGAAATGTCCTAGTATTAGAGATACAGTAAAATAACTGATAAAATATGTGAAAATATACCAAGAATAAATATTCTGTTGATGAGTTTTAATATTCAGTAAATCATTGTGAAATTTTAGTTTCCTAAATATACAGGCATCTTTAATTTTGTCTTTTATAAGGGGATTCATCTTTGAAAATAATTTTTGAGTGAAACTGTTTTATAAGACCGCAAATATAATAATAATTTATTGGTCCATAAAGAACTTTTTTTAATTATGTCATTTTAATTGTCTTAGAGTTTCCTCTTACTCTAAAATGTATTCTAAATTCAACAATAAATTATATGCTGTCTTTACCATTAATTTCTTGATGCCCAGCTGGTCAGAGAACACTAGCCATCGGGGACAGTTTGATCTTAAATGTCCCCACTGTAGGAGTGTGTGGGGCCTCTGACCAGCTGGCCAGGCAGGCACACATCAGTGTTTATACATGTCCCAAAGGAAAGGCTCTGGGCTTCTCTTATTCATTAAGGAAAGTTGTAATAAAACAAAAACACTGTTAAAAAATTGCCTGTTACTTGAGTAGTAATTACATGCCTGCTTCAATGATTCCATGGTGTTTGAAAATTGGGAGTTTTCTTACCCTATCATCACTTCTACATTTACTAAGTCGTATTCCTCTGTATGTAAAAATATTCCCCTCCTCCTTTTTATTATTGCGTATCACTATGGACCATGGATTCTTCCATTATTTTTTAACATGTTGTGATGCATTGCAATAATTATTAGTTTTGAACTTATTGAGGTATAAGATACATTTATTAAAATGCACAAATGTTAATGTGATGCTTGATATATTTTTGAAATGTGCATGCACCTGTGTAACACAACACAGATAAAAATCCAGAAAAGTGACTGCACTTCATGAATCTTCCTCCTGTCACCTCCTAGTCATTTTATTTATTTATTTATTTATTTATTTATTTATTTATTTATTTATTTATTTTGAGAGACAAAGTACAAGTGGGGGAGGGGCAGAGAAAGAGGATCCCAATCCCAAGCAGACTCCCCACTGCCAGAGCAGAGCCTAACGTGGAGCCTGAACCCACAAACCATGAGACCAACGGCGAGATTATGACCTG